AAGTTCCCCTTGGGAAGGCCCCTGTGAGCCTCAGTTTCTTCATCTGTAAAATGGAGATAACACTGCTTGCCTGGTTCCCCTGGGCAAAGTAAGGTAGATGCTAGTCTCCCCCTCAGATCCATTCTCCCATCTTCCTCAGTAGGAAACCCCTGATTTGTAGCCGGGCACATACCACTCCAATAAAGACTACATTTCCCAGCCTCCCATACAGCAAGGGGAGGCCAGGTGACTAGGTTCTAGTCAGTGAGAAAAAGCAGAAGTGGTGTGTACATCTTCCTTCAGGAGAGAAAGTGTGCCCTTATTCTGTCCTTCCTCTTTGTGGCTGGCAGGAATGCTGTTGCAATGGCTGGAGCTCCAGCAGTCATTTTAGACTGTGCCATGACCTTGCAAATGCAATGTTCACCTGGCATAAGAACACTGGGTTCCCTCATATTGGATCAGAGCCTACCATAAAAGAAAAAAAGAAGACTGGCTTCCTGACATTGTAGATGCCATGAACTAATTACCTCTAGACCAGGGTTTCTCAACCTGAGTCTTACTAGCATTTTGTGCTGGATAATTCTTTGTGTGGGGAACTGTCCTGTGCATTGTAGGATGTCTGGCAGCTTCCCTGGCCTTTACCCACTGTACACAGTAGCACGCCCACCTCCAGTTGTGACAGCCACAAGTGTCTCCAGAGATTGCCATTGTCCTCTGGGGGAAAAGCCAGTTTTGGCTGAGAACCACTGCTCTGGGACCAGTTCCAACGGCAATAGGAATATAAAGCAAGATACAAATACAAGCCACATATTTAAATTTTTAAAAAGTAAAAATAAACAGGTGAAATTAACTTCCATACATATTGCATTTAACACAATATATTTGAACTATTATCATTTGTCATGTGGTCAGTATAAAAATGATCAATGGGCTATGCTACATTCCTTTTGTCCTACAAAGTTGTGAGCCTGGTGTGTCCTGTATATTTCCGGCACATCTCGATTGAGACTCGCCCCATTTCAAGTACCCCAGAGCCACAGGTGGCAAGTGGGTAGCATAGTGGGCAGTGTTAACTCTGGACTTCTGGAACTTGAGGGGAAAGAAGCCTGTGTCTTGTCTAAGCCATTTTTATTGGGGTTTCTGTTACTTGCAGCAGAACGTAATCCTCACCAGCCCACGGGGGTTTGATCAACCACACACACTGAACTCCCAAGAAGCAATTAAAAACGAGGTTGGGATGCACAGCTGAAAAGTGCTTCAGAGCAGGCCGGCAGGCAGGCCCTGCGTGCCACCTGCATGTTCTCCCTCCGTCCTCCCACAGGCGCCAGGAGGGAGGCGTCATCAGTTCATTCCCTAGATGAAGACTCCGAACTCGGAGAGCGTGGCGGGTGCTGTCATGCCCGGCCATGATGCATCCTCCAGACACTCAGGCCCCTGCTGTGGGGAGACTGGGCAGGTGATGGCACTGCCTGGTCCCTCTCCAGGACTCAGCTGAGCTGCTTTGCCCAAAGTCAAGTCCCTTGCCCAGGGGCAAACATCTGACCACGAGTGGTCGCTGTGGGTATGTAAAGGCCTGACTCCCTTGCCGCAATTCTGGACAACTTGAGTGCCATCCCAGCCCCAGAGGTGCCATAGGCTCCACCTAGGTCTCCCAGCCTCACGCTGCCCCCTGCCCGCTGCTTCCTCACCCCACAACAGTTGCTGATCCCAAGAGCATCCAGTGCTGTTGGGAACACGTTTGCACATGCTTTTCCCTCCGGCTGAATCCCGTTTTTAAACTCCTATTCGTGCCCCCAAACCATTCTCTCCGGCATCAAGCCCCAGTCTTTGTCACGACTTCCTCTAAGAGGCTGGGAGTGCCTTGTGGAGCTGCCAAGAGGGTGGCCCCTGGGCACGCTGTGGGGCCCCCAGGCTGATCTGTGGGAGTAGAGCACCTCTGATCGCAGTATATTTACCCAGCGCTGGTTCAAGAAAGGCATGCAGGGCCTTAGGACAGGAACGGATGGTAGCCAGAGGGCACAGGTCCTGAACCCACAGGCCCAGGCTCAAATCCCAGCTGCGGCACTGAGCGTCCTGAACCTCAGTTTCTTCATCTGGAAGATGGGGTGATGTGCCCACTGCTCAGCATCGGGGAGATTCCAGTGTATGGCTCTGGGTCTGGTGCACAGTTAAAAGTCAACGTTCCCACCACCTGTGACTCATGGACATTCACAAAACAAAAAGAGGGAATGGTGGCCATCTCCTGCACATCTGTCTTCTTTGTACTGGACTGGCAGCCCCTGAGGTCCAGACTAGGCCTAATTGTGCCCTGTTACACCGAAGAGTCACAGGTTACAACATGCATCTTGTTCACACAGTATGACTCAAATGGTGTATCTGTAGGCAGATTTTACCCTCAGGTAGCTAAAAACATACCAAGGGAGAGAAGGTATGTAGTCACCCAAATACACAGTCATACTTAGGTCATAAGAGTGATCATCCCTGAGAAGCCAAACTCACCTGACACTAAGCTTCATCCCAACCACGAAATCGAGGCTTACTGCTCCCATGTTACTGGTAACACCGAGACTGACACGGCCTGGTATACCATTTCTCCATCGGTATGAAACAAACCAGCCCACACCTCAGTGGCTTAAAACCACAACCATTCATAGGCTCACAGGTCTGCATTTTGCGCAGGGCTTGGTTGGGCAGGGCTTGTCTCTGCTCCTTTCGGTGTGGCTGGAGCCAACCCACTGGAGTCCCCGCGATGGGCTCTGCTGGGAGGCCAGGGTGAGTGGAGACTGGCTGGGTCCCCCTCTCCGATAGCGCATTTGGACTCCATGTTGTGGCTCAGAGCTTCGAGGGAATGAAGAGAAGCTGCCTGGCCTCCCTGGAGCCAGCTAGGAGCTGGAACAGCAATACTTCTGCTGCGTTTCTAGTCAAAGCAAGTCACAGGGCTGGCCCAGATGGAAGGGGGAGTGGAGGAAATAGAAGCCATTTCTTGACAGGAGAAGCAGCATGGGGTCAGTTTACTCCACCCAAGGTCACACATTCTGCCGAGCTAAGTAGTAAACTCAGGTCGGAGCCATTATAATCTGTTTCCCCTCCTCTGGGGTCTTGCACGTGCTCTGCTGCAGACCTTCCTCCACCTCCACTTCACAGATTGGCTTAACTTACACCCGCCCATCCGTCAGGAGACGTTGCTGTACCCTGGAGACTCTGCAGAGTTCCAAAGTGCTCCCCTGCGTTCCCGGAGCACCCTTGCACTGGGCTGCAATCGCTGCTCACCCGCTGCCCTCTCCAGTGGGAACTCAGGAACAAATCCAGCAAAGGACGTCTTCTTTGCAGACCACCCCATAGGGCCTCCCGTTTAAATGATGTGCCAAGCATTGTCACGGACCCTGAGCTTAGTGTTCAGGATGTTTATTAGGAAGTTCCCTTAGGATGAACACCTGGCCAAGGGATGGGAAAGAAGCAGGAGGGAGACCTCTGAGCAGCGATGCAGGTCCTGTGACAGCTTCCACTATCTCCATGGGGAGTCCTGGGGCTAAAACACTCCATCGGCATTGTCCCCAGTTGGGCAGAGACTGCTGCCAGGATAGCCATTGGGAGGTGACCATCCAAGAGGTCGTGACCTTGGGTGAGGCTGCTCTGCAGCAGAGGCAGTTCCTGGAGAGGCCAAAGGCTGGGGGCTGTCTGCAGACAGCACTACCTGTGGCTGGGGAAACTGTTCCACTTCCTTACAGGCCAGAGGAGCAGGGAGGTGGTAATCCTGAGAGCTGCTCAGAGGAAGTGGCTTGCCAGTTCTGACCTGTGGCTGGAGGGAGGGGAGCAGGAACGGCAGAGTGAGGGAAGGTTTTATCCATATCTGTGCTTGGGGTGGGAGTTCTGGGCCTGGGTCTCCACGGGACTTCATTTGACTGGATTAATACTCAGGGACAGAGCGTTCACAGTGGCATTGTGCCATGTACTGGAGGACTGGCTATCACGTGAGTGTGAGTCATGGCTCCAGGGAACTCTACTGCCTCCTGACACCTCCACAACCCCCGATGACCCGCTGTCTACACTGCTGCCAGACTGATCTTTCCAAAAGGCAAACCATAAATATGACTCCTCTGCTTAAAACATACTTAGAATAAAATCCCAGTCCCTTGCCCTGGTCTGCCAGACCCTCTGTGATCTGCCCCACCCACCTCTTCCAACTCAACTCCTAAGCTCTCCTCATGGTCGCAGGGTCGTCCTCAAGGCCTTGGCACTTGCTGTTGCCCCTGCCTGGAAGCACTTTTCCTTCGGATGCTCACAGAGATACTGCCTCTGCATCCATTCAGCCTTAGGGAAATGTCACCTCCTCCAGGAAGCCTTCTCGGATTACTCACTTGAATCTCGGTGCATTCCGTTTTTCATATTTATGTAATACGTATTTATCAAGCACTTAACATTACATGTCCCAAACACTGTTCTAGGCGGTGGAGATAACAGTGAGGCCCTACCTCTTGGAGCTTACATTCTAGTGGGAAAGACAATCAATACACAAGTAAAAACAAAAAATGCCGTGATTTCAGGGAGTGTGAAGTGCTATGAAAAACAGGAGCGGGGTAAAGGAGCACACAGAGCCTGGGCGGGGGTCTCTGATATCCGAGCTGAGAGCGGCCTCTCCCAACCACCAGCGGCTCTGGGGACTTGCTCTGGGGACCAGCCCTGGGCGCAGAATGGGGAGCGGAGGGCGGAGGCGGCGCGTCAGGCGGGTGGCGGGCGGCTAGGGTCACCCGAGCCCCACTCTCGGGGGCCGAGGAGAGCACCCGGCCCAGGCCCCGCGCTCGTTCCGCCGCCCGAGGCCGCTCGCTCCCGGGGCAGGCCCGCCCCCGCGGGGTAGCCAGGTGCGGCGGCCCGGGGGTGGCGCCCTCCCGCCGCGCTTCCTGGGGGGCGGGCCTGGCCGCGGCCCCACCCTCCGGCCGCCCATAAATGCGCCGGCCCGGCCGGCACCGCGGGTTCGCAACGCGGCTTCAGGTGAGCGAGGGAGGTCGGCGCGGCCCCGTGTGCGCTCGCAGCCGGCCCGGAGCTCCAGCCATGCTGTTCTGGCACACGCAGCCCGAGCACTACAACCAGCACAGCTCGGGCAGCTACCTGCGGTAAGGCCGCGCCCACGGCGCAGCCCCGGGGCTCGGGCCGGGCTCGGCGTGCAGGGCGCCGTCGGACGCCCCGGGGCTGGGGCGGGGCGCACCCTCGCTGGGCCCTGGGCGCCCGGCCGTCCGCCCTCTGCGGACCAGGGAGAGACCCGCCCGGAGTCCGCCTGGGGACCGACGGGCTGACGCCGGCGACACCCGACGCGCGGAGTTGGGGGCCCGGCGGGTAGGTGGGCGCGCGGAGCGCGATGCCTGCGAGGGCTCGTCCCCGACGACCCCCGGCCGGTGCGGGGCGCGCATCTGCTGCCCCAGCCTCGTCAGGTCGGTCACCTCCCGCGTCTCTCTTCGCCCTGCACGTGTCAGGGAACTAGAGGAAACTCGCTGCCGTCAGTCCGGTGCCTGTGCCGGGAACTTCGTCCCCTGCTCTTTGCCGGTCTCTGCCCGGGTCCCTCTCCGAGCCTCGCGCCCTCTGCAGTGCGCTTCGTCGGGCCGGAGGCGGGTGGTGGCGGGCGCGGACCTCAGCCTCGCGGGCCGGCGGCGGCGGGCCCGGTGGTCTTGCGTGTGTTCGCTGGAGGCCCGCGGGGTCATTGCCCCTGATGGAAATCTTCCTTCTGCAGGGATTTGGCTAGTGCTCTTCAAAGGGAAAGTGAGACCTGCCTGTTGTACAGAGTTCTCTACACCCCCCTTTTAGGAAGGAGGACCCCCGTTTGCTTTAGTTCCCAGAGGATTGTTTTTCCCTGTTCTGCAGCTGGCCGGCTACTAATGGGCAGTCATTTCACTTTGTGAACTCGCCTGAACCAGCTTTAGCCTGTCTTTATTTCCATCCTAGTCACAGTTTATTAAATGTGCCTAATTTTACCCAAAGGGCATTTGATGTGGACTCAAGGAAAGTGAATTACGAGGCCAAAGGAGTCACAGGCATTGACAGTCCCCAAACCAGAGTTTACCCTTAGTGCTCGTTTGGCCCCAAGAAGTTCCCACTCAGATTTTAACACTACAAGTTAGTTGTAATTCCCGGAACATCCCCGGTTCCAGAATGCAGGGCCACCATTGGGCTTAACTGATGGATCAGTTGTTTCTAATCCGTGGGCCTGAGTAGCAGGAGATGGCAAAAGTCTAGGGCCCTAGGACCGCGGTGGTGTCACTTGGGAAAAGCCCACTGGGAAGATGTCAATCTCCCCCTCCCCCCAGGAGATTCAGTGTCCATTCGCTTACCAAAAAATGGTACGACTGAATATATTTTTACTGTACTTCCCATGGACTGTTTCAGTTGTAGTTTTGCTTGAAATTTGGTTTGTGACCATAAGTATGTTGCCATATCTTAAAAATGAGTTTGAAGGTGACCCTGAGTTGAGGGTTAGTGTATTTCAAATTTCCTAAGTACCTACAGTGTCATCCCATTAGGGAATAATTTTCCTGTCACGTTGGAGGTGCAGTTTTGACATTTGCTGCTGAGATGGGAATTTGTGGAATACCTGGGATATGTTTTAGGATTTGGTGTTGTATGAAGAGAAAAGGGTGGGAGTTGGAGGTGAAAGATGCTGCAGAGCCGTATTGGTTCCTGGGGTCATTTTCAGACCATGAATAAAAAAGGTTCATACTCTTTTTTTACTTCACTTCTTGGAAGCTAAAGGTTTTGCCCTTGTAGAGGTTGACCTTAGTGAGGGCCAAGATCGTGGTCCTGGTCCCCTGACTCTAGAGTGAGAGTCTTGTTTTTTTCCTTGATTTTTTTATATTTTAGTTTTGGTCGTCTTCTCACTTTGCAGAATTCCTACAGATTGTCTGACCTCATCAGGGTAGTAGCCTTTACTCCCTTCCCCCTTTCTGTTTGATGTTCTTGTGACTTTTATTCCTTGGCAAATAAGGATGCCAGGCTTGAAACAAGTTGCTGTTGAGTGATGGTTCTTAACCCCCACCCCCCAACCCTTTTTTGAAAATTTAAAGGCAGCAGCCCATGGATTATTAACTTAACACGGCCTGGGCAAACATGAAATTATGCAATCCCCAGGTGAGCAGGCCTGCCCACTTCTCCTGTGTTCCTAGAGAACCACACGGGCTGGGAGTGTGCCCTGCTCTGGAAAAAGGAAGGCACAGTGCGGGGCAAGACAAGACAGTCCTGCACCCCTGTCTTTGGCAGTGGACGGTGGCGGGCGAGGCCCACATGGAGCAGGTGTCCCAGGTTTGCCTAAAGCCAGGCTTTTCCTTCTGAGAGTTAGTTAGACATTGTTGGGGTGTGTGCTGGGGTTGTGTTGTAGAGTCATTCGTTTATGATGTACAAGGAACAGATTGTACCAGTGACTCTGTGTTTATACAGTAAAGTGGGGTCAGCTAATAGGATTCCTAACCTGGGACCCACAAAGGGAGGAGGGTTATCAAGATAAGGGCCACTGGCACTTTTTTGGCACCTGTTTCTATGCTGCTCTTAATTTAGAGGTCTTGAGTATCGCCTGCTGGCAGGTTATTCATGTTCTCAAGGATTTCTTTGTCTCATGTGAGGTCATTTTAAAAGTGTATCTAGAAACAACTTCCTCGCTCAGTCACAGGTTGATATGAGGCTGGTTTTTTTTTTTTTTTTTTATGTGGGGAGTTTTATTTGGAGGTGGAGGAAAAGAATCTTCGAGCAAGCATCTCAAGATTTCCCATTTGGATTAAAAAACAGATTTAAAACCAAGGTCCTTTCTTCTCATTTTGCCTTTCGGAGGGATTAGTATGACCCTGAAAACAGCTATCAGCCCGTTGTCCTCTCTTTAGAAGGGATGGAGGAGTGTCTCAACCTGGGTGACCAAAGCAAACAGTTTCTTCATTTGCACCGTTTACAGAGCCTGGAGGAAAGGGTTGCATTGATCTGAGAAGTGGCCGATAAATAGAATCGTTGATTTTTAAAAACTAAAAATTTTTGTTCAGATTCTTACTCTAAAAGCGAGGCTTGATGCGTGGTCTCTCATGGACAGAAACCAAATAAATGGCTCCTAAAGGCCACTTCACTGCTGCTGGTCTCTCCCTGTCACAGAGAGGATTTCTGGAGATGGTGGGTAACTGTGCCTTTTACCTCCTCTGTGACCTGACTGAATAAACCTCTTGGGGGCTGTTGGGGGAAACCAGACTGATGAAGGAGGGGCTTACTCTGTTGTAAAGCGTCTGGAGTGTGCTGTGAAGTGGGGTCCCTAGTCTGTGTCCCTCTCTCCACTGTGCCCTGGGGCTGGGAAGGGGCTCCCAGGCTCTGCTCTGACCTCGCGTCCTTCCTGTGTGTTGCAGTGATGTGCTCGCTCTGCCCATCTTCAAGCAGGAGGAGCCCCAGCTATCCCCCGAGAACGAGGCCCGCCTGCCACCCCTGCAGTACGTGTTGTGTGCCGCCACGTCCCCCGCCGTGAAGCTGCACGAAGAGACTCTGACCTACCTCAACCAAGGTAGTGGCTGGAGCCCGGGCCCAGGGTGGCACCCTTGGCGTGAAAGGCCCATTTAAGCCTCATTACAGTGTCACAATGGTGAGGGACTCACCCTCTGGAAGGAGTACAGGCTTTGGTGTCAGACTAGGTTCAGATTCCATTTCCTAGCTGAGACCGTCTGGAAGCCTCAGTGTTTTCATCTGAAAAATGGAAACATCGGCCACGTTACAACGTGGGCCAGCCTGGGTCCCCTGATAAACTTCCGTGTATAGCACCTTCGTGGAGCAGGTGCTCAGTGACTGGTAGTGTTATTACTACTCATAGTGACCAGGATTAATGTGCTTTGAAGGCATAGATTGAGCGCCCTTGGTGTACTGGGTTCGCTGTCTTTTCTGGAGCTGCCCCGGCAGTGGCAGGGAGGCTGGCCCGTGTCCTGACGCAGCGTGGAAGCGGGTTCCATCGCGCTAGACAAAAGCCCTCTGTGGCTGTGGGGACCGGACCGCTCACCATGTCCTGAGAGAAACGGGCTTTGCAGCCTGAGTTCCAGCGCTAGCACTTGCCAGCTCTGTGACTTGGAGCTGCTTTTTTTTCTGAGCGTCAGTGTTTTTACGTGTGAAAGGAGAAGTGTAATTTTGCAAAGTTGGAAAGAACGAAGGTGTGTGAAGTGCCTGCGTATGATTGCGGTTGTTCAGTCGCTGGTTCCCTTTATCCGAACACATGGGCAAGTGACCTCACGGATGGTTTCTATCATGATCATGTGAATGTGTTTATTGCACTTTCTTCCTGGGTCACCTCGGAACCACCCTGGCATCAAGTGGATTCATAGGCCCTCGACTTTTAACATTTTTTTAATTAATATTTTTGAGACGGAGTCTAGCTATGTTGCCCAGGCTCCTGGGCTCAGGTGATCCTCCCGCCTCAGCCTCCTGAGTAGCTGGGACTACAGGTGCACACCACTGTATCTGGCTCTATTTACAAATAATTTTTTATGTACCCCAGGCATGAAACAGCTCTGGCCACTACCCAGGCATCAAGGTAGGATGAGCAGAGGACTGTCCGTCTGCTCTGCCCCCGACTGATGTAACACCCCTCTGCTTTAAGTGGGAGGAGCAGGGGGACAGAGGAACACTGGTATCTGTAGGGTCGCACCAAATTGCGAGGGAGCTGTGATGTCTTAGCAGTTTGTCTTGCATGTACTACCTTCTCTCCATAGAACTTTGGCTCCTCAGTTTGGGGAACCAGCCGGGGGTGGGCGGGTGGGGG